TGAAATACCTATCAAGCATCCAACCCAAACGATCTTCTGAATTAAGGTAAATTAAGCTCAGACCCTCCCTTCTTATACAGCCTTAGTGTTATTTATACTAACATTATAGACTCCTAACATTTACCTAACCACCTCTAGGAATGCAGATTGAGCACATAAATTCCTTTTTTTTGGGAGGGGGGTGTGTTCGAGACATGATTTCTTGGTGTAGTTTTGGTGCCTGTCCTGGATCTCGCTCTGTAGACCAGGCTGGCCTCGAACTCACAGAGATCCACCTGGCTCTGCCTCCTGAGTGCTAGGATAAAGGTGTGCGCCACCACCACCCAGTGCATAAATTCCCTTTTTGATGTATTAACTGGTCTTAGCTCTCAGTTGACCTCCTCCTTTAACCACTCCCCTTTTTGGTTGTAAAAGAAAGCCTGAACTCTTGTCTGCCTTTATGACCCTGTAAGAATTCAAGCCTGGTGACCTTGCTTTAGTTAGAGCACTGCTATTGCATGGGTTTATATAACTGTAAACCTCAGAGACTGAGGAGGATTCTGAGTGGAGACCTAGAAGAAAGAGATGGAAGATGAGGAAGAGCCAGATGGGGAAGAACGAGATGAGAAAGACCAAGATGGGGCAGAACTAAGATGAGAGAATTAAGATACAAGTTAGAGGGACAGCAGATAAATGTAGAGAGAAATCAGGGAAGAAAGGAGCTAGGCACAAGAACAGAACTGAAGCTGTGTAAATAGAATTTTATCCCAGAGGAATAAAGTAGACAGACAAAAGAGCTTGGTGTACTTAGATTCTTTTCCCAAAAATAATTTTCGCCATTTATAGCTTCTCTTCTGAGCCCCTGGGAAGAAGAATGTTAAGGCTGGTCCTTAATAATATTTGAGAGATTACATAGTGAGTTCCAGGCCAGCCAAGGCCATATAGTAAGACCCTGTCCTTAAAAATAAAAAGGGACGCTCGATGCCTTTGCAGAGAACCAGGGTTCAGCATCCACGTGTCACAGCTCTCAACTCTAACTACAGCAACAGGGACTCCAATGCCCTCTTCTGGCCTCCGAGGGTACCCAAACACATGTGCATGTATATATGTGTGTGTGTGTGCGCACACACATAGAGACAAACATACATACACATAAAATTTTTAAATACTTTGAATTAATAGATAAGAGAAGGCCTAGAACGATGGCCTAGCAGTTAAAAGTACTTGCTGCTCTTGTAGAAGACCCAAGTTCAGTTCCCAGAACCCACATGCTGGATCACAATAGTGCATAACTCCAGTTACAGGGAATCCAATACCCTATTCTGGCCTCCACATGCACCAGGCATGCATGGTGTGCATACATACACGCAAGCAAAATACTCCTCTACCTAAAATAAATCCTAAACATATTAAGAATACTTTCAGTATGTTTTGAGAAGGTCTCAACATGCAATCCAAACTTTCAGTATGTTTTGAAGTAGTCTAAAACCGAACTCCCTAATTCCTGCCTTAGCCTTCATGCTACTGGAATTCTGGCCACAATACCTCTAGGGACTTTTTTTTTTTTTCTACACCAGTGTGATGAAAATGGCCCCCAGAGGCTCATATATTTGTATGCTTAGTGCCCACTTGAAAAACTATCTGGAAGGACTAGGAAGTATGTAGCCTTGTTGAAGGAGATATGTCCTTGTTGGAGCAGGTGTGTCCCTGGGGGGGGTGTGCTGCCGGCCTGCCTGCCTGCAGATCAGATGTAGCTCTCTGCTACCCTCCAGCACCATGTCTCTTATTTGTACCATCATGCTCCCCACCATGGTGATAATGGACTAGCCCTCTGAAACTGTAAGCCTCCAATTAAATGCTTCAAAAATACATAAATACATACATACATATACATACATACAGTAAGGGTTGCTGTGGTAATGATGTCTCTCCACAGCCACAGAGTCATTACTAAGACAATTTCCCCAAATTCAGTCTTAAGAAACAATAATTTGTTTATTACCTATCAGCAAAAGGGCAGGGCTGGAGAGAAGTTTGCTCAGTTTAACACATCACAGAAAGACAAAATGCAACTAATTTTCCAAAAATGGCAATGGGAGAGTATTCATTTGAAGAGTTATTTCTCTGTCTCAGCTCTTGCAGGATTCTTTTGCTAAACTTGAGTTAGGACCTGCAAAGAGGCCTGTAACACCATGTGCATGATGCTTGAACACAGGGGAAATAGGGCCTTCTGACTGAAGAAGTCTTACGTGCACAGAAAGACAGGTTTATATGGGCCCACAGTCAGCTGTTAGATACAGCCCCAGGATTTCTGCATACATATCTGCTGTCAATCCAACAGTCTACTCATGAGCATTGTGCTCTGCACTTAATTTGTGAAGTTCCTGAATGTTACACCTGAAGGTGTCTGGAAAAGCTTGAGATGGGTGTCAGCAACTTCTGAGTCTGAGTCATTGATGGAAGTGTTATTTTAAATAGCTGGTTAGGCAGGACACTTTCGTGAGGAAATCAGGGCCCTCCCTACTCTGCCTCAGTTATATGGGAAACATCCTTCATTGGATGACTGGTTGGGCAGGGGAGGAATACTCGTTTGAAAGCACATTTCGCTGGTACTATGATTTCATGTGTCATTTTAGCCAGACAAGAACATCCCTGACATCCATACTGACTTGAGGCTAGGGATACAGTTCACTGGTAGAGCAATTACCTAGCAAGCATGAAGCAAGCCCTGAGTTGACACTCCAGTACTAAAAAAGCCAGCAAAAGAACTGACGACGCAGATTTTTAGTGTCATTAGTCAATCTGACAATCACAGTGAGGCCACTGTTTTAGAATAACAACTGATCAGACAAGATCATGCTGTCGACAGACAAGTCCAGCTTAGAAGCTTTCTAAGCAATGCAAAAAAAAAAAAAATTTTTTTTTAATTAGAAAGAATTTACCTGTTGTTAGTAACTTGTAACCCAATAGTCTGGCAATACAAATAGTGGTCGTGTAGTGTGATGGAGTAATACAAGTAATTACCTATGCAGAACAGATAACTGCGGGTTTGTGTTGTCCCAAAAGAGAAACCGTCTTTGTGTATATTTTGAAATTCAAAATAGCATGAATTCTTTAAAAGTGCCCTCCAGCAGTGGAAATGTGAGCTCTTAAAGAGTGACTGGGTTATGTCACAGTTGGGTACCACACCTAAACAGCCCCGTCACCTCTGTCACACTGTCCACAATGAGCTGGAAACACCCAGACCTGTGTGATTATTAGCTAGTTACTATTCGCTCAGACAAAATAACTCATAATCCACCTCAGCCTCCTATGTTCTGGGATTAAAAGCATGGGCCACCACATCTATTGAGAGCTTTGTTTTGAAACTGGGTCTGGGGAGACGACTCTGTAGGTAAAGCACTTACTTGTTGGGCAAACCTGAGAACCTGAGTTCGAATCCCCAGAACCGCGTGGGGCCTAAACGATGAGCACCTACCTATAAAAAGTGCGACCAGTCACGAGACTCAGATTGTTCGTGAATAGGATGGTCTGCCGTGTCAGTGAATTGACAGGATACCCACACTTGATACCGTGTATGGGGACAGCCACAGCCACAATGTGTTAGAACAATAATTATGTGAAATCTCAATAGCAGAACGCTATGCTTCTCTTTACATATCACAGTACCAGTTAAGGGCCAAGCTGTCGTTTTAAACTACCTTCTAAGTAATTCTGCTCCTACATGATTGAAAGACCCCCACCAAAGACCCAGGACACAGTTCCCCCAGAAACCCAAAAGAGCTGAGGGAAGAGATATCTTAAAAATAAACAGAACTGAGTCAGTTCCCCCTTCCTGGAAGTCAGGTGTTTTCAAAAGAACAAAGTCAGGATGTCTGGTGGTGGTGACCGATTAACCACGAGATGCCCCTCTCCGGTGATAACATGGCCAGACCCCAGAGATGGGTTGTAAAACTCCTGACAGGGCAAACAGATAAGCTGAAATAAGACAAAGTCCAGGCCCGGGGAAAAACTGGACCAATCAAGGATAGACCCCCCCTCCCCTCTAAGAAATTTTGTGGGTTTTGCCTATAAAACCTAACTTCCCCAAGAAAGAGTAACTCCTCCCTGCCTCACTGCGCTGTGCGGTGACTTGTAACGGAAATAAACCTTGCTTTTGCATTCTGGTACGCTAGTCCTCGGTGGTCTCTCTGGGGGTCACGATCTGGGCACAACAATGATAAATCCCTTGGTCCTTCACATGACACCCCATCACCTGGTATGAACGCTGCATAAATTACAGCCCGTTACGGGTTCTAAATCCACTCGCCTTTCATTATTCCATCAAAGGGCAGGTTTTAGCACCCCACGCCACACTTGCTGGTGACAATTTTTTTTTTCTTCTTCAGTCTAGGACGTCCACAATAGTCCTGTCTATTCCCGAGTTGCATTACAACCGCGGCGCCGAACTGCCCAAGACGCTAGCGGGACTCCAGCCCGGCTTCCGCCTTACGGGGTCACGTGAGCGGAGCGGAGCTGCTGCGCATGCGCGCACCCAGCGTGTCGCCGGGCGGCTGCAGCGGCCGGGTCTTGGCTCCCCCGCCGGCTGGAACCGGACCCCAGGGCAGCCCGGGACGGACTCAGAGGCGCCCACCCGAGCTGCTCCGGGTCCAGGTTCGGTGGCCTAGGCGGGCGTACCGTGGAGGCGGAGCCGCTGCTGACCGGGGGGGCGGAGCTCGGCGGCGCGGGCCGCCCATTGGCTGCCGGGCTTCCGTGCGCCTTCCGGGGCCCCCTCCAGGTGCCAGCCGCCCGCCGCCCCGCTGGCCCCGCGACCTCCCGGCGCCTTTGCCCAGGGAGGCGTTAACCTCGCAGGGGTGAGCCGCGGTGTCTACAAGTGTGGGGTCATCCACGATTGTATTCTGTCGTTCGGTTGGTGGAAGATGTTGGCATTTCCTATTGCCTCTAAAGGAGTATTGTTGCAAGAAAGTTAAATGACTTTGTTCGTCTGAAATGCTGTCTTTTTTTTATTCTTCTTCCCCCAGGTGCCCGTAGCTTTATTTTCCATGACAGATCTTGACGACAGTACATGCAAAAAATATATAAAGATGATTACTAATATCGTAATATTGAGCCTGATCATTTCCATTTCCCTAGCATTCTGGATTATGTCAATGACAGCTAGCACCTATTATGGTAAGTAGAAGTGCCCTAAGTTGTTCTAGAAGTTTATGGGTGGAATTTAAAAGTACCGCTTCAAAATCCAAAAAGTACGGCCTGTAAATGGTTAAGAATGATTGTGTGTACTACCACAATCTGAATCTAGTTTGCTCCTGTAACAAGATAAACGTTGTCTTGACTATTTTACGGCCTTTTATGATGTTTGTTGTGATAATATTAGTTACACACATCATAAAATGCATGCATCAAGTAATCATTTTGTTTACCTAGGTGAAAAAAAGACATAAAACGTAGTTTTGTGAAAAAATTTTGGTGATGCTTTTTATTTTCGTAAGATTAGTAATGTGGCTAGTTACTAGTATCACAGTTTTATAATCCTGTGAAAATAAAGATTAAAGAAGGTATAATATTTACATTTGGAAATCTGAAGAATTTGTCACTGCAAAAGAATAGACCTCTAGTGCTGGAGCTGGGGCTGTCACAGTGTGTGTCCAAGTTTGATCCTCAGTATACCTTACAGTCACTTGGCAGAAACAAGGACTTTGGTTTCGCTTTGGGTTATTGATATGTCTGTGGTTTTATGAAGCCGAATTTTGCTGTGTAGCCCTCATTGGTGTTGAACTCAATCATCCTCTTGTCTCAGCCTCCCGAGTGCTGGAATTACAGGTGTAAGTCACTGTGTGTGACTTTACATAAGGTACTTTAGCTCTGGTCTTTCAAAATTTTTCTTCCTTAGCATATATTAATTGTACAAGATAATGTATTTCATTTTGGCATTCATATATTTAGATTACATACCTTGCTCCTATGATTTTTTTTCTAATCTCATAGCTTTTTTTAAAATATTTTTTTCTTTTATGTGTATTAGTGTTTTGCCTACATATGTGTCTGGGTGAGGGTGTTGGATCCCCTGGAACTGGAGTTACATACAGTTGTGAGCTGGCATGTGCGTGCTGGGAATTGAATCCAGGTCCTCTGGAAGAGCAGCTAGTGCTCTTAACCACTGAGCCATCTCTCCAGCCTCCTACCCCAGGATGGTGTTCAAGGATTATTTTGGTTTTGGCTGTTAAGTGCTAGGAATTGAATGTGCTGTTTTGCACGTTCTGTGCAAGTGCAGGGGCTGCTTCGTATCTAGCTCTTTGTTTTGTTGTTTTATTGGGGTTGTTTTGTTTTGTTTTTTGGTGTGTGTGGTTTTTGTTGTTGTTTTGTTTTGTTTTCGAGACAAGGCCCCAGCTTATGGCCTTGACTGACCTCAAACACGACTCCTTCTGCCTTTATCTCTATGCTCTGGAATTATATGGCCAACACATCCAGATGTTTAGAATTTCAAAACAGGGACTGAGACAATGACTGGATAAAGCACTTGCCGTGCAAGCCTGAGCGCCCGAGTTCAAATCCCCAGAGCCCACTTGAAGCTGGGCACAGTAGTACCCGTCTATAATCCAGTGCTCCTGGGAGGTGGGAGGCAGAGAAGAAGTCCCAGGAACCCTTGGGCCAACTCAAAGTTATCCTCTGACTTCCACCCATGTACACATTGTCTGCACACAACACAACACAGCACTAATAAGAGCGCACTTTTTCTTTCTTTTTGTTTTTTTTTTGAGAAAGCCTCTCTCTACGTAGACCAGGCAGGCCTGAAACTTAGAGATCTGCCTGCCTCTGCCTCCCAGATAATGGGATTAAAGACATGCACTACAGTTCTTCACACACACATACACACACACAAATTGTTTTTGAGTTTTGAAGTTGAGAGTTTAGAATGTGCATATACAAATTTACTTAAGAAAAAAAAGGCTCAGTTATTTTAAGACTTAGTTATTTATTTATATGAGTGTTTGCCTGCATGTTATATATATGTACCAAATGCTTGCCTAATACCCAAGGAGTTCAGAAGAGAGCTTTGGATCCCCTGGAACTGGAGTTACAGATGGATTGTGAGCCACCATGTGGGTGCTAGGAATCAAACCCAGGTCTCTGTAAGAACAACAAGTGCTAGCCGGGCGGTGGTGGCGCACGCCTTTAATCCCAGCACTCGGGAGGCAGAGCCAGGCGGATCTCTGTGAGTTCGAGGCCAGCCTGGGCTACCAAGTGAGTTCCAGGAGAGGCGCAAAGTTACACAGAGAAACCCTGTCTTGAAAAACCAAAAAAAAAAAAGAACAAGTGCTCTTAACCATTGAGCCAGTTCTCCAGCCCATAAACTTTCTACTTTTTCCTACAGAACCAGAATACTGGTCAGTTCACAGTTCACAACTAAGGAACAAGTGGAAAGGAGAGAGAGAGTGTGAGCTCTTAGAAGTGGTTGTGCCCTAAGTAATTGCCGTTTCAGGACATGGTCCTTTGGCAGAGAAAGATGTTCATTCATAAAGATGCACAGTGGAGGAGGCTTGGAGGGAAGGAAACATGAACATCCTTATGTAAATAAGTAGAACAAGCTAGGGGCTCAGTGATTGAGAGCACTGACTACTCTTCCAGAGGACTGGGGTTCAATTCCCAGCACCCACGTGGCAGCTTACAACTGTCTGTAACTCCAGTTCCAGGGGACCCAACACCCATGGCAAAAATACCAGTGCAAATGAATGAAGCTATATCTTTGCTTCCTGGAATAAGATTTTTCCTATGTTTTGTTGTTCAGTTGGCTTTCTTGGTTTTTTTATTTTTCTATTTCCTGGTTTCGGTGTTTCTTATTTGGCTTTTGAGATGTGGCTTCATTCGACATAGTGCTGGCTGGGACTGTAACTCATTATGTAGACCTGGCCTTGAACTTGTGATCACACACTTAGCCATTTCCTCATTTTTTTTTGACAGAAATGTGACTGTAAGCAATAGTTCCATGTTTTTCCTCAAGATAAAGAAATCTTTCAGCCATAGTGTCTATCAGAAGGCAGTCAGATGTGGGAACTCCATGGCCTGTCTGAAGGAGATGACTGCCCATTTCTTGGCCTTTGGTTAATTCTGCCACATAGGCCAGAGTATCTAACATAAACAAAATGAAGAATCAGAACTTTTATATCAAATCTTCTACCTTTTCATATAACTCAAAAGATTTAAAGATACAGTGTTAACCAAACAGAACAGCTTTGGGTTTTTCAGTCTTTGGGTAAATTGACTTCTAGCTGTTGAATCATATTTGTTGACCATCAGAATGTTATTTAAGATAATCTCTTTGAAAGAGAGAAATAATTTTGTCTGAAATTTAATATTATGCCCCCTTGTAGTCAGAAATTTTCTGTCCCAGGAGCCACTTACCACACAGAGACTTATATTAAGTGTAAATGATCGGCCAAAAGCTCAGGCTTGTTATTAACTAGCCCTTACATTTTAAAGTTAACCCATATTCCTTATTTATGCCTGCCATATGGCAGTACCTTTATTAATATGGCACATTCATCTCCTGCTCCCTCTACGTCTGGTTGGCGACTCCTGCCTCTGCCCTCTTCCTCCCAATATTCTCCTAGTCTGGCTCTCCTGCCTAACTTTATCCTGTTCAAGCACAGTGACATTATCTTCACATCATACAAAGGGATTATTCCACAGCATTTTTTTTAAATTAAAAAAATTTTTTAAAAAATTTAGGAAGCAGTGATTTATTTCAATTCTCCAGGTGCTCATGTGTGCAATATTATCCTAAGAAGCTGTAAATAGTTTCAACACTTGAACATAGCCTAGTGGGCCCCACCCCAGGATGATTGTTCCTCTGACAGTATTCAAGTCTAAGCGTAAATATTTTCCTTGGGCGACCTGATCTGTTTCTCTAGGATAGTATTTTAATTTGGATCTCTCTCTCTCTCTCTCTCTCTCTCTCTCTCTCTCTCTCTCTGTGTGTGTGTGTGTGTGTGTGTGTGTGTGTGTGTGTGTATTTGATTGATTGATTGATTGATTGATTGATTGATTGATTGATTTTTGGAGACAAAGTATCTCTGTGTAGGCTGGCCTCGAACTCACAGAGATCTGCCTGCCGCTGCCTCCTGAGTGCTGGTATTAAAGGTGTGCGCCACCACTGCCCTGCTGGAACTCACTTTATTAAAGCTTAGTGTTAAGAGTGACCTATGCAAGATTCAAGCCGCCCATTGTCCCAGCTCTGAGAAGGGGAGTTGGACACAGGATCCCACCACTAGCCAAGAATCTGTTTGTACTTTGGTACCCGCTAGCAAAGGGAAAATCAGTTTTCTCCAGTGGGGTTTCACTGGATGCATCAACCACACTCCAGGGCAGGCCCAATGCCCAGGAGTAGTTTGCTCACAAAATGAATTCCTCGGTATTCTTGTGGAATTTTTGTTTCCTTTCAGCATTCTTTCGAGTCATTTGTCTTTTGTTTGTTTTGATTTTCATTTGTGTGCATTTTGTTTGTTTTTAGAGAGTGACGGAATATAATGAGAGATGGGAAGATCAAAGTATATTGTATGAATTTTTTAAAAAATACTTAATGAGTGAATTTTTAGAGGACTAACCTGTGCAGGCGTCACACCGCTCTCCATGTCTGTAATTTTTCAGGTAGCTTACAGCCCATCTCTCTGCCTCTGTCGCTTCCCAGGTAACCTGCGGCCTGTTTCTCCCTGGCGCTGGCTGTTCTCCGTTGTTGTTCCTGTTCTGATTGCCTGCAATGGCTTCAAAAAGAAAAGTCTAGACCACAGTGGGGCTTTAGGAGGTATGTTTTCATTCTGAATGTTTGAAATCATTCTACCGTAAATATGCTCTTTCATTGAATGTCATGCTTTCTGAATGCTGATGATGACTGAATTATTTATTTATTTTTAAATTCTTTTTTCTTTCTTTTTTTTTTTTTTTTGGCTTTTTGAGACAGGGTTCCTCTGTGTTGTTTTGGTGCCTGTCCTGGATCTCGCTCTGTAAACCAGGCTGGCTTCGAACACACAGAGATCCGCCTGGCTCTGCCTCCCGAGTGCTGGGATTAAAGGTGTGCGGCACCACCACCCGGCAAACTTTCTTAAAGATAGAGTCTCACTATGTAGCCCTAGCTGGCTTGGAACTCACTATGTGGACCAGGCTGGCCTTGAATTCACAGAGATCTGCTTGCCTTTGCCTCCCGAGTGCTGGGATTAAAGGCATGCGCCACCAGGTCTGGCTATGACTGAACTGACTGAATTTCAACATGATGCATCTCAGTGATTCAGCATTCCCATTCTGTAGAATTGCAGAAACAAATACCTTTAGAGCAACATGCACATTCCACTTTGTGACTGATGTGAATAGGTGAACAGGATTGCCCTCTGGGGACCTTTTTTTTTTTTTTGGTTTTTCGAGGCAGGGTTTCTCTGTGTAACTTTGCGCCTTTCCTGGGACTCACTCTGTAGCCCAGGCTAGCCTCGAACTCACAGAGATCCACCTGGCTCTGCCTCCCGAGTGCTGGGATTAAAGGCGTGCGCCACCACCGCCCGGCCTCTGTGGACCTTGACCTTGGCTCTTGTATACTTAGTGTGGTCTCCTGCTGGCAGAATTACTGGGGCACTCCTTCTAGGTGTAAAAGGGAAGAGAAAAACGACTCTTGGAAATTGCTCCCAGTGATTTCAAACAGCTGGGTTCAGATCTGTTGTTTTAGGTTGCTTTTTAGACCTGAACTGGGCACAGGCTTTTGTGTTGTTTCTTATTTACTGAGCACTTCCTACTCTCTGCCACTGCTCCAGAAACAGGGAGTAAAGCTGTGGCCCAACACAAGGCTTCTGCTCGCCTGGCTCTTTTATTTTACTTGACTGTTTATTGACTTTGTTTTGTGTTTGAAACAGGGTCTTAACTCTGTAGCCTAACCTGGTCTCAGACATGAAATCTTTCGGCTTCAGCCTCCCAGGAACTTTTACTGTTTGGGGCTGGGGGCCATTAGATGATAAGTAAATAAAAATGTTTAAAAACTTTTCAGATAATCTTGAGGTTTATGAGGGAAAAAAATGAAAATATAATAAAGCATGTATGTTAGAAGACACAGGGCAATTTTCTCCCCTAGATACGGTCCTGTGGTTTTCACTACGGCAATTTGGAGCTATGACCCAGGGAAGCCAGCAGAATGGCTCAGAAGCCGTTCCGGGCTGACAGAGGAACAAGTGCATAAGCCCTAACATGCCGGTCTAACTTGTTCAACAGTAAGAAGATAGCTCAGTCAGGCAAGTGGTAGTGAGGACGGGGAGCCTAGTGAGAGAGAAAGCTGAAGAAGCAGATTAGGGCTAGCGGGTCCATTCAGGCTGGTGCCCTCCAGTAAGGGTTTTCTCTCAACACATCGGGGATTGCTAGCCTCAGAGCAGAAGGCCAACGTGATCTGCGTTGGCAAGAGAACATTCACAACCACCAAGCATTCGAGACGCCAAGGCGTGTGCTCTCCCCCTAAATACTTCCCATATATGAAGACTATTCCTGCTAGCCTTTCTTGAAGTCCCCTTCCCAGCCTTCGGAATGCTTCTGATCACTAGCCCCTATGCACCGTCAACACTCTGTCCCCTCTGTTTGTACAGAAGTTACTGTCTGTGAAGGTCTGTCAACTAGAGTAGACCCTCAGAGAGGGAAGATGGTGTGATTGGTAAAAGAACAACCCTAAAAGTAGGCAAGGTCAACTTGAAGAAAAACTGGGCCTTCTCCCTGTCTCCTGTGAGGGTTTCCAGTGTCTAACCTGGAGGATATATCACAGAATTAATGAAACATAAACACCAGGCCAGCTCACTGGCTTGGTACCTTCCCAAGGCCATAGCATGTGCTGTCATGGTGCTATAGTTTCGTGAAAGTAAAAGGGCTTTTTGTTGTTCTTGTTTTATGTTTTTCCCCCCAAGGGCTGACCTTAAACTTGTGGTAAAGCCTCGGCTTTTCCAGTGCTGGGATTACAGGCTTGAGCTACCACACTTGACAGTAAAAGATGTTTTTGGACTCTTTTAAGTTTTTTTTTTTTCACTTTTTTAAATTTATTTTTCTATTATCAGCTTAATACAGTATAAATTCTTATCCTAATAGTGAAATGTTTGATTGAGGCTTGCCCAGTAATTGAGTAAAACCAAAACTTATTATAAGCCACAGTCATCCTAGGGTCCCCCCTGCTATATAGCCTCCCTGGTTCTGCGGGTTGCAGTCTGATTGTTCTTTGCTTTATATCTAGAATCCACTTATGAGTGAGTACATACCATGTTTGTCCTTCTGGGTTTGGGTTACCTCACTCAGGATGATTTTTTTCTAGTTCTATCCATTTGCCTGCAAATTTCATGCTGTCATTGTTTTTCTCTGCTGAGTAGTACTCCATTGTGTATATGTACCACATTTTCAAGGTTTATTTTTATTATTTTTGATTATGTGTAGGTATGTGTGTGTCTCCATGTGGGTATGTGCAGCAGAGTGCTGGTGCTTGCTGAGGCCAAGGATGTAGAGGCATTGGATCCCCTGGATCTGGAGTTACAGATGGTTGTGAGCTGCCTGATGTGGGTGCTAGGGACTGAACTCTGGTCCTCTGGAGAGCAGAAGAGCAATGCTTTACTTCTGAACCATCTCTCCAGCCCCCTGAACTTTTTATTTATTTTTTATTTATTTTGAGGCAGGGCCTCACGTAGCTCAAGCTTGTCTTAGTAAATTCTACAGAGCTGAAGATAACTTAAGGTCCTGCTTGCACCTTATAGTGTTGGGATACAACTATCTGACATCACACCAGTTTATGTGATTCTGGGACTCAATCCCAGGGCTTTGACCATTCTAGGCAAACATTCTTCCCACTGAGCTATGTCCCTAGCCCTGGATCCTTTTTGGTTTAATCCCAGCACTCAGGAGGCAGAGGCAGGTGGATCTCTTTGATTTTAAAGTCAGCCCATTCTACATAGCAATCCAGGCAAGCCAGGGCTACAGAGTGAGACCCATCTCAAAAAAAAAAAAAAAAAAAAAAAAAAAAAAAAAAAAAAAAAAAGGCCCTTCAGCACATTCCTGTAATCTCAGCAGCTCTATAATCTCTGTACCATGGAGGTGCAGGCTGGAGGTTCCTGAGAGTCCAAGGTCACCCTTGGTTACATAGTTCAAATTTGAGCCTTTATGAACTATTTGAGAACATGTCTCAAAAAAAAGCCCTACAAATTTAGCTGGATCTATTCCTGTAGAATCAATGAGAATTAAATAAAATGATTACCTGAGAGTTCTTTGTTCACTAGACGAAGCCAGTGTTTATTGGATGTTATCAATTATTATTGGGTAGAAATCTTCAGAATCACAATTCCCTTCATACTTGAGAAATATTATTTGCACTCTACTGATGGTTTTCCTTCTGTAGTAGTTGAGATTGAAAGTTAAGTAGATGCATTGACATTTTCTTATAAATGTTCTTACTATATCTTCAGTAAATATTAAGAATGACTATGTACTATTTGCTTAACAAGAGCAATGTCACTCTTACTGTGTGCTGGGCACTTAGCACTTTGGAAGTATTAACTCTTTAACAAGTAATTTGAGCAAGCAACGTTTGACTATAATACCAGTCATGTTTTACTTAAAAAAAATACTTTATCTCTTAGGGTTTTATTGATGTGAAAAGATAACATGACCATGACAACTCTTATAAAGGAAAACATTTAACTGGGGCTGGTTTAAAGTTGAGAGGATTAATCCATTATCATCATGGTGGGAAGCATGGCGGCACACAGGCAGACATGGTGCTGGAGAAGGAGCTGAGAGTTCTACATCTGGATCCTCAGGCAGCAGGAAGTGACAGTGACATACTGGCCAGGCTTGAGCTTCTAAGACCTCAAAGCCCACCCCCTAGAGATGCACTTTCTCCAACAAAGCTATACTATTCCAACAAAGCTACACCTCCTAATAGTGCTCTTCCCTATGGGCTTTGAGGCACCATTTTCTTCAAACTACCACACTTTCTCCTGTGCCCTTGCCTTGGTGTTTATTATTCTTGACCTACAGCAAGAAGGGTCAATGCCTTGAAAGTCTTTTCTCCCCCATCTATTTATTTGTTTATTTATGTATTGGTGGAGAGAGCAGTGAGTACACACACGTGGGGTTCAGAGGACAGCCTGTGGGAGTCAGCTCTTCCACCAAGCATGCCAGTTCCCAGGGGTCAAGCTCGGGTCCTCAAGTGACTTTACCCACTGAACCACCTCACCAGGACTCAAGTTCTTGAAAAGTCTTTTTGATTTGCTTCCAGCAGAAGCCTCCCTGGGTCCATGTCTTCCTCAAGGATCCTTCTGAGGGTCCCCCATCTGGTCTGGCACCCCACTGCTGGGCATCAAGGGATGCTCTCCTCACTCTGCAACTCTGGGAGAGGAGGCACCCCCTGGGGCACAGGCTGGGGAGACTACTGTCTTCTCCTTGCCATGAGGGAATTTTGAATCTCTGATGGGTCACTGACTGACCAGCACCATTCAAAATGTGCTACCAGAAGTATCCAACATGGAACAGATGGATGGGATTCCAAGCTCATGACTTCTTCAAGTCAGCACTTTCTGAGAAAGATCCCAAAGTGCCATCGTCCAGGGGAAGAGAAAAGGAGGCAGGGGCCCCTGGAGGTTTGGGAGGAAAAAAAAACAAAGAAAAAGAATCTGAAAACCAAAGGGAAAATGACAGAGATGGAAAGAAAGACGTCAGTGCTGCCCAATCAGGGCATCAGATAGCCAGATCCATCACCTGAGACTAGAAAAAAAAAAAACCAAGATAATTGGGGGACTTAGCAAA